AACAGAAAACTACTCATCCAGTGACCAGTATATTTGCCCTCTACCAGACTCCTGTACCCCACTATTGTGCTAGACCCAGACCAGTTAAAAAGACATTTACTCTCCAGGAAATTAGAGTTTCGTTATAAAAATGTAGTTTGCATAGAGTAAATAACCAAACAGCACAGGCCCACCCAAATGTCTGGCACTGGTAAATAAAAAGTTAACTCACTTCCAAACTCGGCCAGTCTACGATAAGACTGCCCTGCCCCCTCCAGTTAGCTAGTTTTAGCTTCCTGTTCTGTGATATCTATAGCCAGTTTCTCACCAACTGCAGATACAAGTTTTCAGTCCATTATAAAATTGTGGGATCAAGAACAGGGGGTCCCCTCCCATAACACTTACAGCAAACCTCATTAAACAGGAGATACATGTGGGATCAAGAGTGAGGATTATGCAGATTATGCTTTTTCAATCTACAGCCAGGAAGCCCTATTACATTCAAAACAAAGACAGCCACACCTCAGCCCCCACAATATGCAGTACCTGTTTTCCAGAACCTGTGACCAAAGAAGCAAATAAAGAGACCAAGAACAGCAAAAGTGGTGAAGAATATTTTGGTGGAGAGTCTTCCTATAAGGAAACAAAAAATAAAGTTGGGCGTGCATATACACACACACACGGATGTGAATAAGGTAACGCACCATGGCCACATATGCTTTCACTGTGGACACTATGGGTATTGACAGCTCCTACGCATGAGTACTGCATGAGCTGAAGGAGCATCTCCTTTAACAGAACAGGGTTTGGAACTACTGGACAGTTCCAATTCCATCCCCCAGAGGGTAGTAGTTCCTTCCCATTCTAATATCAATGCAGGAGTGGGGCTCCGAAGAGTAGAGCCTGAAGTAGAGCCAGATTTTCCTGTTCCCACGCATCAGGCAGGCGTAACATGCTATAAGCATTGGAATGACAGCTTGGCTTCCCTCCCTCGCAATAATCCCCCATGCCTCCCATTCACTTTGTACAGGTGTAAGCAACTTCGTGAGCTGCAAGGAAGCAGCCAATCAGGCACTACACTTTCCTGCTGTCGACACTCACTTGTGCAGTTATGGTCAGAAAGGCAGTTATGTAAAAAAATAATGTCACCTTCTTACTCAAGAGATTAATTCACTGCATGCAGAGTCATATTTCAACAGCTTGGTGACAGATACACTTCATAGTTTTTTATTCCCTTTTGCACTACCATGTTAACACAACTATTGGAGAGAGCTGGGTCCTATTCTAATCCATATGACATATTCATTAGCCAATGAATTTCATTTGCTGCATCCTTCTTACTGGTGGTGCACGAGATTGAGAATACAGCTTGGGTAGGCAGTTAAAGTGTAAATGCTATACCTGCACTTATGTACTTGACAAGCTAGATCTGGGGTCACTGAAAGAAGCTAGGGAAACTCCCTATCATAGAATCAGTTCTCATGCTAGTTACACACTAAAATGCCATAAAGTTGGCAGTTTCTTGCTCTGCGTTAGATATTCTCCAAAGCTGCTGACAAATGCAGAAGTCCAAGCCCAGGTTTGAGCACGTTAAATAGAACAACTCACACTGAAAGCACAAGTGCATATAAAAAACAAACAATAAAAAACCATACAGGTCTACTGGACTTACTGAGAGAGAAACAATTATCCACGAGGGCAGTGAGGCTACAGGCATAGGTATGAACAGGTACATATGCAGCAGAGGTATTCCAAAGTGGATCCCACACAATGACATTATAGATCACTCCTTGTCCAGGGAGTGAGGAGAAGTGGACATTGGTCTTTTCGTCAGTTGTTAAGGAAACCAGCTGAAAAAACAAAAGTTTGTTACTGTTGATAAATACTCGTCATCTTACAAAGGGCTCTGCCCCTTTCCTCCTTTGCATCACGCCTGGGGCGCATGCCATCCAACCAGGATGCCTTGGTAAGCCTATCTAAGAAAGGTCCAAGGTTAATCATGTTGGGTATGGATTCTGGGACAGTGTTTAAAGATCTAGAGGCAGAGTTAAGTAAATGTGGGATGTAATCCAAGAGTCATCTGTGTGCCAAAGCCTCATTGACTTCAGTGGGAATTCTGCCTATTAAGAGCCAGTTCACACAAGCCGTCGCTCAGTATTGCCAATCCAACCCAAAATTAATGGATCAGACTCTACATCTACCCCTCAGGCCAAAAATATCCCCCCTCCCATGAGATTTTTAACACCAAATCATGAATTGCATTTTTTTGGCCTGCATTTGATCCCCCTTCTGCAATTTTAGTAGGAAGCGACCCGCTCCCAATTTGGGAGAGAGCTAAGGGTCAAAAATTCAGCCTTGAATAAATATGAAAGTGCAGCCACACTGTTCACAGGGAGCTCTACTTCCCCGTCTTGTCCCCTGCGATGTGGAGAGCTGCCATTCTATCCCGCTCTAATCCTCTCCCTAGCTAGACAGGAGAAGTAGTGTGCTAGTCACGTTCTCCCTCTGTGCTCCCCAGTCTCCTGCAAGCCCCCTACATTCACTTGCTCCCACCCTACATTTCCTCCTCAGCCGAGCGATAGAGTGGCCATGTTGCTGGAGCCAGCCTGTGGCCTCAGCACCATTGCTAAAAAGGAGACATGGTGACCATATTGGCTAAGGCTAAACTTCAAGACTGAAAGCAGAAATCAGATTTTTGATCATTCTTGACTCACGA